TATTGACTAACTGTTACTTTTTATTATTTTATTGTTATTTTATTATTATTTACAAATTTGTATTTTTTTTCTTCTTCTTTATTATTATTATTTTATTTTTTTAATAAATTTTTTGTTAACCCTTTGTGTACGTTCTTTTTTTTTTTACCTTTTGTTAAATAATTTTATATTTTATAAAAAAAATTCTTTCTACATTCTCTATTCTAATTTTTTTTGATTTTTCATTTTTTTCACGTTTTCTTTCACTTTCTATTTTTTTTTAATTTTTTGTTTCTATTTTTTTTAAAAGAATCTGTTATGTTTTTTCTTATTTCCTTCGTTGTTCTCATCTTTTTTTTTATGTTTTTTTATTCTTTTGTTCTCTTTATATAATATGTCAAATTTTAAATTTCCTTTTTAATTATAATTATTAATAATAATTATCACTATTTTATCATAAATCTCTACATGAAATTTATTTCTCCTTTTAATAAACAATTCTATTTAGATATTTATTTTTAAAATTATTTACTAATTATTGTTATATCCTAATCTACTAAGTTAACAATAAATTCAACAAAATCTTCTAAAGTGAAAAATTGAACGGAAAGATATACGAATATATTCAAATTTAACAATTCAATATCACGAAAGATATAAGTTACAAAGTGTATCTAAAAAGCATAATAATAATAATAACGTAACAATAATTAATATAATACATGTGATTTAAAGAATTTTATACTATTTGAATCAAATCTTCATAGAAGTAATATTATTTAAATCATGCGAGAATTTATAGTTACCTCGCTGGGAAAATTGATACCACAAAAACAAGTTGTTATCCACGAATTTGGAATCACGATCAAAACCTCTAACCCTCTCCTAATTCTCGAAAGAAAATTTCACTTTTTTTTCTTTGCTTTTGCTTTTGATTTTTTCTCTCTCTTTATTTCAATTTGTCTCTGTATATTCTCTATATCTCTCGGTATACTATTTTTTCAACTGAACGTGGGGTTATATAATATTTTTTGGGTGAGAATCTGTTGCTAATTCAAAGGAACGTAGTGTGGTGGGATTATGATTTAATTTGAAAATTAGTTGAGAAAATTGGGGTTGAGATAAATATATATAAATAAAATAAGTAAATAATAATAAAAAATTAACAAAAACAAATAAAAAAATCATGTAACAACAAAAAAATTGTGCCAAAAAAGAAATAAAAATAAATATAAATAGATGGGATGAGTATTTTAGGAAAATAAGTTAGGAGTTGGGAGTACTTAGGGTAAGTTAAACAAATTTGAAATTATTTACTCCTTTTTTCTTTTCTTTTTTTATACTCTTTCATAATATTTTCTATATTATTATTACTTTTCGACTAGATAGAATAAAAAATAATTTAATATTACAACTTCTATTTATCATTTTATTATTATTATTAAACTATAACTGATCTTCTAGTTTGTATTAAATATATTTTGTATAATTTTATTTTAAATATAACCATTTTCAAAATGGTGTAAAAAATTTATGTTTTGGTGAAAAAAAATAGAAAGTCACAGTATGCCCCTCTTTGCTTACACACATGAAGAGTTTTCATGCAAAGACGTGAACAATGTGGCTAATTTTTGACTGAAATATTTATGCCAAAATGTGAAAAATAAATAAAAGAGAAGAGGTTTGACTGAGTCCTAGTTTTTGAAAAACTACATATCCCAAGTTTATGAAAAGGAGTCAGGTGTAGTTCCAATGAGTTAGGTAGTCGAGTGAGGTTTTGTCGAGATTCACATAGCTCCACCTATTAAATAAAAAAATGCAGAAGGAAAGATAGGAAATCCTATATACTCCAATAGTGGTAAGTGTTCAATTTGAATTCTCAGTTATAGCTTCACCCTCTTTCGTAGGTTCATCGATTCCGAACTTTGCTCTGGACATCTGAGTTTAAGACTTGAAACTTCATGACTTGACTTCAGCCCTTGACGTTCTTCTGCAGGATATTCTTGAATACTTATTTTCTTGAAAGGATGAATCTTTATTCTTGAACTTTATATTTGTGTACTACATAAAAACCTGCACACCATAAAACAAAACAAACAAAACGAAATAGGGGTTATTGTGCCCTATATGCGACCATGGGTTATTGTGCCCTATAGGGTGATATAAAACTCTATATACGACTAGGGGTTATTGTGCCCTATATGCGACCATGGGTTATTGTGCCCTGTAAAGACGTGAAAATAAATAGGGGTTATTGTGCCATATATGCAACCAGGGTTTATTGTGCCCTGTGAAGATATGAAAAATTAAATAAGGGTTTTTGTGCTCTATATGAAACCAGGGATTATTGTGCCTTGTGAAGACATGAAAAATAAAATAGGAGTTAGGGTGCCCCATATGCAACCAGGGGTTATTGTGCCCTTTGAAGATATGATAATAAAAAATAGGGGTATTGTGCCCTATATGCAACCAGGGGTTATTATGCCCTGTGAAGACATGAAAAATAAAATAAGGGTTATAGTGACCCATATGCAACCAGGGGTTTATTGTACCCTGTGAAGACATGAAAAAAATAAGATATGAGTTATTGCGCCCTATATGCAACCAGGGGTTATTGTGCGATGTAAAGACCTGAAAAATAAAATAGCAATTATTGTGCCTTACATGCAACCAGGGGTTATTGTGCCCTGTGAAAAATGAAAAATAAAATAGGATAGGAGTTATTGTCCCCTATATGCAACCAGGGGTTATTTTCCCATGTGAAGACATGAAAAATAAAATAGGGTTATTGTGCCATATATGCAACCAGGGGTTATTGTGCCCTGTGAAGACATGAAAAGAATATGATTGAGGTTATTGCACCCTACATGCAATCACGAGTTATTGTGCCATGTGAAGACATGAAAAATAAAATAGGATAGTGATTATTGTGTCATATATGCAACTAGAGGTTCTTTTTTTTACTTATATTATTATTATTTAGTATTATGTTATTTTATTTTATTTTTATTAGTACATCGATCAATCTAAAAATAAAATAAAATGCCGCAAATTTTATTTAAAAAAAATAATTCTTTTTATTATTATTTTTTTACATATTGTATGAGAGACAAAATTCAAAAACATACCATCGCGGTGTTTGTCTCTAGCGAATTACTCGCACGATTTGTCTTTTTATCTGCCTATAACTTTATTTCTATCTTGATTGTGCTCATGCCAAGACGGAATGTCATCATTTGATTAATGGTGTCATTCGTAATTTTTTACCAAGTAGACATTCTTATCTTTTTACTGTTGTCTTATGGTTCTCGTGATAGTTTTCACTCATAAGACTTTCTTACTTTTTTTGGTAACATATGTCTTGTTTCAACCCTTTTGAGATTTGAAATAGCATGATCATTATTTTATTGAGTGATTAGACCGAACCTCAATGAAGGGCTGCCTACGTATCCTCTTAGGAATCAGATAGAACGTAGTTCAATAATAAAAAATTATTTTTTTTCTTGATCTATTTGTAGAAACATAATAGAAAAATTGAAAAAAAAATCAATTCATGTTTGATAATGCTTTGACTTTAGTTGGTACAACACTTAGTATTATGCATATGAACCTCATTCAACTACTTTCAAAAAAAATTTGAGGTCAACTTTGAGTAATTTCTATAGTTTCAATTGTATCTCAAATATGCTTAAGTAAATTACGAGATAATCTTATCCATTCAAGCCAATATTGTGCCTTTCAAATACCTTAGCGCTCTTTCAATTTTTAAGAGTTTCATTTGCTCTTGAATCTAGAACTACACATGACTTGATTCTCGTATAACTAGAGATATATAAGCGACTTAAAACCAAAGTCTCCATCGTACCCTTTCTTTCAACTCTACTTCGCTTCAATTGATTCTACTGACATCTATCGTCGGTCGGACAAAATCGGCTACTAAGTCAACGTTGGTTGCCTTACAATTCATTCTTCATTCTCAATCAACCAAGGGGAAGCTGTTGACACCCATGTTTGGCCGACCTTTAACTATTTTTAGGATTATATTCGATTAAATATGTATTTTAAAATTTTCTTAAAGTTTTGAATTTTTTTTCGGTTTTGCTTGAAAATTATATATTTTAATATGTTTTACTTTATTAAATTATTGTTAATATTATTAAAATATTTTAAAATTATTAATGAATTTCAAATGTTTTAAAATTTAAGTGATTTTCAATTGTATAAAAAATATTTTAAGATATGTAGTATTTTAATTAAATAATAATTCTTAAATTTTCCTCAAAATCATTTAAATTCTAGCCTATTCTATTCTAATTTCTTTCAATTCTAGCCACTCCACTTCAAATTTTATTCCAATCATAGCCACCATTTCATTTAAATTCTAGCCAATTTCTATTGCAATTTTGGCCATTCCATATCTTTTCCAATCTTATTTCAAGACTTCATCTATTAATCTCATCCGTCCGTTTAAATAACTAAATCCTAGATCGAATCCTAGCCGTTCATCTAACTTATTATATGGTCAAGATTTAATCTCTTATTCTTCATATTTTCTAATACACTAAAAGGCCTAATCTTGAAAAAATCTCTCCCTCTCTCCTCTTCATCCTCTCTTCTCCTCACCTTTTCTCCTTTCTCCCTTCTCTCTCCCTTTTTCGGCAGCCTCCTCTCCCTCTCTTCTTTTTCCGGCCGGGGAGGCCATCAGCCTGAGGTGGCGACGCCCCTCTGTCTTCACCCTTCTCCCTTAAACCGCCGCTTCTCTCTTTTCTCTTCTTCTTTCTCCTTTCTCCCTCCACTCTTTCCGACGACCCCTATTTTAGCCGGCAAGGATGGCCGCCAGGCAGCCTCCTCTCCTCCCCTCTCCTCCTTTCCTTCCCCCTCTTCCCCTTCTCCCTCGACGTCCCTCTTCTCCCCTCCCGTCTCTTCTCTTTCCCTTTCTCTTCTCATTTTTCTGCGGGTACCAGCCCCCCACCGGCCGGCAACACTGGCAACAGCAGCCAGCAGCCACGACGAGCAGCCCTGCGCGCAGCAGTGACGAGCTGCCAGCAGCAACAGCCATTCCGGCCAGCAGCTGGGACCAGCAACAACTAGCAGCAGTGGAGAGCTGCCAGGCAACTGGCGAAAGACAGCAGCGACCGACATGGACAGCAGCGGCCCACCAGCAGCCCGAACACCAGCAGGCCATGACCGGCAGCCCGGCGCCACCCTCTCCTTTCTCCTCTTCTCCGTCCGTCTCTTCCTCTCTTCTCCGGCCAGTAGTAGCAGCAAATTTTGATAAAATCTTCAAGGATTAGATAAGGATCCGACCAGGTATATCTTTCAAGTACTCTCTCATGTCATGTCTATTGGTTAATACCTTTTAATGCGTGATTCAACTTGGTAAATCTCTGCTTGCTCATATAAAATTTTGTTTTAAATTAATTATTATCCATTTGTTCTTATGTCATTTTCTGCTCAAGGTTTAAATGTTCCACTGCTCTTCTTGATATTAATATGAAGATCTCATACTTGTCTTTGATTTGCCTATTATTACTTGATTAGTCTTGTTAATATTTATACATCATCAATAGAGTTTAGTCCATACCTTAAATAAATGATTCTCTTTCATTTAGAAGAACTTGCAAAAATGGGTTATTAATTGATATGCTCTTTTGACCCAGTATGTTATTGCATTATATTTCTTTAAGTTGTTTTTTTATATGGCATTAATAGTTGGAATTTTACAGCTTACTTACAAATTGATTTAACCTATTGATTTTCTTGATTTTGAAAGTTGCAAAGTTGACCCTTCTTTAGATGCTTACTGATTTCAATAAATTCGTATATGGTGAATGTCCCAAATCAAATTGTTTAGTATAATTATAGTTAACCTAATCTTTGGAAAATCTTTATTAGTTGGATAGTGTAATATGTTAATTTTTCTTCCCTTTCATGTAAATCTTGATTGTCCGTAAATTGTATCTTGGTAAAAATAGTGACTTCTTAATTTATTCATTTACCTTAATTAAAATTGATTTGATCTCTTACTTGCTCTTATATTTGGTGAAATTAATTTAAATAAAATCTATTTTTATTCTTCTTTATTTTTAGGAAAATATATATATCTTATTCCTAATTTTTATTTCTTACTAGTTTATTTTTGGTATTGAAATATTCTTAAAAGTTTCTGGTTTTTATCTTTTCTTTATTAAGGGAAAAATATATTATTCTCTCTTAATTTATTCTTACTTTCTTATATTTGATAAAAATAATTTAATTTTTTTCTGATTTTGACTTCCTTCAAAATAAGAAAATGGTATTATAATTAATTCCTTAAAATTTTTTATTTTCTTTATTTGCTCCCCTATTTACTATATAAATTGTCCCCCCTTTCATTTTCACATCATACATTGATACTTGAACACACATTAACATCTTGGGAAGAACCCACATGCTCCCACTCACATTTTTTCAGAAAAAGTTTCCCTCATCGTTCACTCACTCTCTCTTAAGACAAGAGCTGTACTTGTTAACTCTCTCATTCTCTTACTATTCATATTATTACTATTCTATAACAAAAAGTTTTCGATAACATTGAAGTGCTACTTTACTACTTTGCTTTTGTTTGAGTAAAATTTGGATCAACTTGTTCTCGTTTCAGACATTTTACTATCGGTCAGCCTTCTATTATTCTTTAAATTCTTATTTTGTATTTATTATTATTGTTGTCTGTTGAGAATACAGGTTAGCGCTCCAATCTTTTCCCCAATGTATGTTGATATATTACTTACATATGTTGTTTATATATGTATATATCAGAGTAATTGGTTACAATGAATATTTTACATTACAATCATTCTTCCATTGTATACGTGTTACCTTACTTATTCTAGCAGGTTTTTGACTTAAAGTTCAAGATGAGGAAGAGTGGCCTAGAAGAAATTTCGGACAATGTTTTGTTTATTTTAATATTGCGTATATTTTCATGTGTTATTAAAATATCTGTATACCTCTAAAGAAACTCTTACTTATGAAGCAATTCGGGGGATCACCTAGGGAGGGGGAATTATGCGTTAATCATTTTTATTGCAAACTTGTTTGTGTTTAAAAGCATGCCTATAAATTCATCAATTGTGTGATAAATATTTATATAATAAAATAAATTTTAGATCTAACCAAATAAATAAAAATAAACCAAATCATATTCGCTTAATCATTTGGTTAATATTCCCAATTATTGTTTGAAGTTAATTTTATCCAATTTGGCGTGTTATGCATTCATATGTCATTTGGAGTTAGAAATCAGGCCTATAGGTTTTATTTAAATATGTTGATTATTAAATCACTTAGAAATCATGTTTAACTAATTTTAGCATGGTCATAATTGATTTGTTTCTTTATTTTGGCATTTTAGTATGTTATACCCTTAGCGATCATGTCAATAGGCTTATAAATTTTCAGCATATCAATAACTAAAATAAAATTCGTTGTGCATATTTTTGACTTTTTTAAAAAAAGGATAAATAATTCCTATTGATTTATTGCATCTAATAAATTTACTATCTCTTAAGCATAGTTTCTGCATTAATAAATAAATTTTCTATTATAAAATGTTCTCAATTAACTAATTTTTTCCATGTTAAACATTGTTTAAAATAATTTTCTGTACTCATAATATTTTGCTACTGCTTCTTTTCTAAAATAATTTTCTGCATTAAATATATTGTTGTCCTTAAAATAATTTTATGGCTTAAATAAACAAAGACTATTATTCTAAATAACATTTTCTTTCTTAATATCTAAATTTGCCACTATTCTAAAATTTGTGCATGCTTGATCACTTTTTTTTGCTACTTGGAATTTTAAAAAAAAATCTTTTATGTCATTAATTTCTGCTCACTTTAAATCATTGAATACTGAAATCTGTATACATGTCATATTCGTGTCCCCTCATAATTATTTTTGTTTATTATAACTCTGTATGCTCACACACTTACCATGAGAACCTACACCATTATGTGTTGTTTGCAAGCATGGCTAATTGATTTTTAGAGGCCAAATTGAGACTTGTATTGCTAAAATGACTGTTTTGATTGCCTTGTTTGTTTGACTTGGTATCTAGGAGGGACTTATATTCTATTTTGTCTAAACCCACCCTTTAAGAGTCCAATGCCTCTTGGACAGTAAACTGAGACGACTAGGCACCTTTTGGGTACGTTATGCATGCGGTGGTTGGGTAGGGGTAGTTGGCCCTACGGAGATGATGACATCGATTCAGGCTTTAACGACAAACTTTGATTTTGTTTGTTCCTATACGGCAGCCTATCGAAAAGTAAAAGAAAAGTCGAGTGCTAATCCAATAAGTCCTTTTGAGTCTCCCTTCCCTTTTTACCCTTTTACTTGTTTAATAATTATGTTTATTTGGGGTAATCACAATAAAAATAATAAAATTATTTGCTTATTTATTTGTCTCTTTTCTATCCTCTCGCTTATCTCTTTATTAATTGTTTAGTATTTTTTTAATCACATAGACTCGCATGTTTCAATATTAATTAAGATAATAATGAGCTATTTGATTCAACTTGTTGTTATATCACCTAGTTTCACATGTTTGATTTAACAAAAATGATTTTAATTATTAATATTTGTTATCACCTAGCCTTTAATAATTAATTGGTAAAAAACAATAAAATAGTCTTAATTGTTTTATATTTCTTATCAGCTAGCAAGCATGCTACTTAAATAAACTAATAAATGAAGTGACCTGAATTGCTAGTTGTAACCCCCAAATAGATTGTATGAGATACGGACGGGACCCACATTTGTGGACCTTGAGCGATGCCTAACACCTTCCCCTCGAGGTAATTTGAACCCTTACCCTGATCTCTGGCTCGTTGACCTTAGCTAGACATAGTTAGGTTAGATAGGTGCCCTAACACGCCTTAATTCGTTAGGTGGCGACTCCAAACTCAAAATCCCAAAAGAGTTCATAGGTAGTGCACAAAACCCATTTTTGCGAAAAATGGGGCGCGACACTAAACGTACAGCGGCACTGACAATGTTGGAGTGGAAAAGAGTAGCTGAACAGGAAAGCATTAGTGCGACTGTTCTGCAAATAAAACAACAATTCATTAACCTCGCTCGCTGACCTACTACTTCGGCTCCCAATTATATCGATAACGCGAGTGATGAGGATGACTATGTAGAACTTACTCCCTAGTTTAGATCTTTGGACATTTATGGACTTTTTCAAATTTGTAAACCAATTTCGAAAGACTTTATAAGTCTTTAATATGTGATTTAGACACTTTTGAATAATATTTTAAGTTTGTTATTTTATGTTTTGTTTAGATTGTTTAAAATTGATTATGTTAGATTGACCTGAATGGCGTAGAAATGGATTGAGTAGTATTTTTAGATGGTCAGCAAAGACTGCTAGTTTATGCTGCCAAAAATGATGCTGGAAAAGCGACGAACATCATGTGTTTGTCTATCACTTTTTTAAGTTTTTTTTACAAATCCTAGAAAGTGAAAAACAGTGTCCATTTGTCCGTCGCTTTTTTGGGATTTTCAAAAATAAAAATTTCAAAAAAAGTTACGGATAGGTTTCTTTGATCCGTCGTTTTTCTGGGATTTTAAAAAAATAAAAATCAAAAAAGCGACAGACAAGGTCCTTTTGTCTGTTACTATTTTGGGATTTAAAAGAAAAAATTAGCAAAAAAAGTGACGGAGTGTGTCACTTTTTAGAAATAAAAAAATATCTTAATTAAAATAAAGCGATGAGTTCCGTAATTTGTTAAGAATAATTTAATAAAAAATTCAAAAGCAGATGCAGTCCTTCACTTTTTGTAATGCGTCGAGCAAAAAAGCGATGGAAGTGACTGTGTCACTTTTCCATCCATTTTGACCAAAAAAGCAGCACAGTACGTCATTTTTGGCCTTCATTTTTTGATAGTTTTTTGATAGTGATATAGGAATATTCGACATATTGTTATCCATTTAATGTATTATATGTATAAATTCTCAATAGACTTTATAGACTCACTTAGTACAACTCAAGTATTTATTTCGATTAAGAAATCATGTATATGAAAAAAAGTTGGATTGTATATGTTCATGTTAGAAGAAATTAATTTTGATTTCTAGATAAACAAAAGATGAATATTTGATATATTTTTCTTGTTGAGTTTGATAAATATGTCATCTCTTATGGTATATTGATGTATTAATTTCTTATTAGTATTATTTCTCACGAATAGAACTATATTAATATGTATCGTAATAGAAAATATATTTTAAATTAAATGAAACATATATGTATACTAATGTCTACATCATTTATTCTGAATAATTTGAGGTTGATTAAAGAATGGACATAACAGTTGATTGAAAGTGAATTCATAACCAACATGTGAGTACTGTTTAGAAAGAAAAACTTACAAAGAGATATTTGGTGTTTATCCTGTAATCCTAAGATACTAAGAACAAAACTTTGAAGAGCTTGGTAAGAATCAAAAATGTTTAAAGAGTACTTTAAAACTAGAAAATTAAAAATAGTAGATATTACAAAATCAGAAACAAATTAAAAACAATATAAATAATTTTCTCAAAGAATGAAAATTCAGCCCACCTAATGCACAGTGTTCCCTTAAGGAAATTATTCCCATCAAGTAACTGTTGTTAATGAAATATATCCTCCCATGATAGAAAGACCTAAATCATTGGTGTATCGGTTCCTAAAAGTACAGTATCAGTGAACCACACAACGACAGTAAAGTATACTTAGAATACTAGATTTAGCTTTAGTAGAAAAAGTCCAGAAAATTCCTTCAACTAAAAAGAGAGGAAATTCCTTATTTTGTAGAAAACAAAGGGTAGTGTGAAAAGTTCCTTATTTTGCCTTACTGGAAAGGTAACAAACATTTTAAAAGTCACAATCTTTCGTAAAGGTCACAACCTTTCATAAAAGTCAAAACTTTTGTAAAAGACACAACTCTTTATAAAAGTTTCAACATTTCATAAAAGGTACAACTCTTCATAAAAGTGGCAACTTTTCATTTTACATCCTAACCTTTTAAAACCAAAAAATCCTCCGCATGAATGAGGAATGACTCTAAGACAAAGAAATGGACAAGCATATGTACTTTACAAGCAAGACTTAATTGCATCTGGATAAGTATGTTTCCCCTTGGACTTTCTATAGTGAACATATGTCACATATATTCGGTTAATTGGTAGATTTGATATATTTTAACCGTTAAGCTTTGGTTTATACCTAGAAAATCATATGACACACAATTAACCTTTTACGATTTATGGTTCTTACGGTTGTGTTGTTTTTAGCTCTGAGCACCTCCTAGTTTCACGAGTGTATGTAGATATGGGCTTTTTACAATAATTCTCTTTGAAGAGGCTTACATTTCACAATCACATAGGTGATTACTAAACGTGTTATCACATAGATACACAATTTGGTTAAATCTACCAAACATAGAAAATCATTAACAACTTTATGCATTGTCAATTCATTAACAAGCCTTAATGTTGTATCGTTGTTCCTTAGAATTCTCTTCATCATGGGAATGAATTGAGTTGGTTTACAATGTGGAACCGTTAGCCACAAATTTATTTTTATCCTTAGAATCTAGCTCTTGGGATCTCTTGTCTGCTAGATAGAGTTGCCTCCATGATGACTTGTCCTAAACCTTAAATTATTTCCTTAGACGATCTTTCAACTTCCTCTCTAGTTAGACCTTTTTGTAAGTGGATCCGACAGCTTATCCTTTGAATTTATATAGTCAATTGTGATAATTACACTAAAGAGTAGTTTTCTAATGGAATCATGTCTATGTCAGATATGACGATACTTTCAGTTATACATAATGCTCCATTCCCTACCTATTACATCTTGACTATCAAAGTTATGCATACTAATGCCAAAGGTTTTGTGTAAAAGAATATCTATCAAGAAATTCTTGAGTCCTTGACTTGTTCTCGGCCTTAACTAGAGAACCTACCTCAGAGATAATTGAACAACTATAGATACATGTCTTTTTGGACGATATTCAAGAGATTGCTCCACCACCAAGAGTAAATATATATAAATTGATGAATTTTACTTCATTTTATCCCGGTGATCCAATTGTATCACTATATCATTTCAATATTTAAATATATTTGTATAATGCAAGACATATTTTGAGTATGTTT